GTCTGTGTTTGTTTGCTTGTGTGTTTGTGTGTGCGTCTTTATTTGTGGTTGTGTGTCTGGGTTTTTCTGCCTGTGTGTGTGTATGTGTGTGCATGTTTGTGTGTCTGTTTATGTGTGTGTGTGTGTGTTTGTGTCCTTGTGTATTTGTTTGTGTGTGTGTTTGAGCGCGTGTGTGTTTGTGTATGTCTATATATGTGTGTTTCTTTGCTTGTATGTATCTGTGTGTTTGCGTCCTTGTGTGTTTACGTGTGTGTGTCTGTGTTTGTTTGCTTGTGTATTTCTGTGTGTGTCTTTATTTGTGTGTGTGTGTTTGCGTATGTATGCATGCGTCATGTGTGTTTGTGCACGTGTGTGTGTGTGTCTATGTTTGTGTGTGTCTGTGTGTGTACATGCATCATGCATTTTTGTGCACTTGTGTGTGTGTGTTTGTGCACGTGTGTTTTTGTGTGTGTGTGTGTGTATGTGTTTGTTTATGTCTGTGTTTGTCTGTCTGTGTGTGTGTTTGCACATGTGTGCATGCATGTGTGTTTGTGCACAAGTGTGTGTTTGTGTATGTGTGTGTATGTGTGTGTGTTTGTGCATGTGTGTGTTTTTGTGTATGTGTTTGTGTACATGTGTGTTTGCGTATGTATGTGTCTGTGTGTGTTTGTTTGTGCACGTGTTTTTTTTGTACGTGTGTCTGTTTTTGTTTGCGTCTTTGTATATTTATGTGTGTGTGTGTGTTTGCGTCTTTGTATGTTTACGTGTGTGTGTGTGTGTGTGTGTGTGTTTGCGTCTTTGTATGTTTACGTGTGTGTGTGTGTGTGTGTGTTTGCGTCTTTGTATGTTTATGTGTGTGTGTGTGTGTGTGTGTTTGCGTCTTTGTATGTTTACGTGTGTGTGTGTGTGTGTGTTTGCGTCTTTGTATGTTTACGTGTGTGTGTGTGTGTGTTTGCGTCTTTGTATGTTTACGTGTGTGTGTGTGTGTGTGTGTGTTTGCGTCTTTGTATGTTTATGTGTGTGTGTGTGTGTGTGTGTTTGCGTCTTTGTATGTTTACGTGTGTGTGTGTGTGTGTGTTTGCGTCTTTGTATGTTTACGTGTGTGTGTGTGTGTGTGTGTGTGTGTGTTTGCGTCTTTGTATGTTTACGTGTGTGTGTGTGTGTGTTTGCGTCTTTGTATGTTTACGTGTGTGTGTGTGTGTGTGTGTTTGCGTCTTTGTATGTTTACGTGTGTGTGTGTGTGTCTCCAGCAGGTGTATCAGGATCATCAGGCAGATCCTCCTTCTCCTCGTCTGGCAGTGTATCATCAGCATCTGCGTCTAGATCTCTGCCTCAGTCTCGTCCTGGAGAACAGAAGGAGTGTTACTACGGTATTTCCCAGCCGTACTCCTGTAAGATTCTGGCTGTGAACACCACACTGCAGGAGTGTTGCTGCACCGCTGGACAGGGCTGGGGACTCATGTGCAAATATGACATCTGTCCTGAAGCGGGAACAGGTGAACAATCACACCGGTTTCATACATCCATTAACATTATAGTACGCTGTGTTCATCCTTATTGGCTCGATGATACTGCCATACTCACTCCACATCATCCCTCCCTGTTTAGCTGAATTCCAGACACTCTGTCCCAATGGAAAAGGCTACGTCACCACAGAAGCTGGAGCGTTCAACTACAAGGGTAAAACACAGACATGATCTCTCCGAAAATCCCCCATGAGTCTCTCAGCATTCATCATCTCGATAACACTTTACAACATGAAACACACAGTTAATCTATTTACTAACATAAACAAACACTGAACAGTACATTTATTACAGTGTTTATGTGTGTGTGTTAACATTAGTTAGTTGTTAACTCACACAGCATTTACTAATGTTATTATATGCATATCTGGAATACTTCAGTCGTGATATTCTTAAGGTATGTTATTCAGAGGTAACAACCGCTAAATAACACAGACTCATCCGCGAACTGAGAATGTGCCCATTCCACGTTTTTTTGACTGTTTTTGCTCAATCTAGTGTCTAAATAATGCGCGGGTTAGTGTATACTCCATCAGCTGTTTAAGGGTGCTTTCACACCTGTAGTTCGCTTCATTTGGTCCGGACCAAGAGTAATAAATGATCATTGTTGCATCTTCTGCCGTCTTTGTGTCGTTTTCACACCACACTGCTGGCTTTAGTCCGAACCAGGGGAAACGAACCAAAATGCAGTCATGTGACAAAATCCACGTCTCTTATTGGCCAGATGTTGTTGAGCATATTTCCTAAACTGCTTATTGATTGGTCAGAATTCACATGCGGGGAAATGCCAGTGAGCTCCCACAGGTAAACAAAACCTTTTACTCTGGAGGGACGACTGCGCTGCTTTAGAAAAACTATACATTTTGAGAATGAAGCGCGGCCGCGGCTGGAAAACAGTGTTTAATGCATCGCTCGTCACTTCAGGAGGGCCATAATGCACAGCGCATCGGTCTACGGCAGCTGGATTAGTCCAAAACGTGCAGTATTTTTGCGGTTGGACCTGTTTCAGTACGGATTATATACGAACCGGGTTCGTTTGAAAGCGTACCGAGACCACCTCTTCAAGCAGGTCTCGGTACGCTTATTTGGTCCGTTTTTGGTGCGCACTCGAGTACGATTGCTGCATTCTCACCTGCCCAAACGAACCGCACCAAAACGGGAACCGAACTCTAGGGCAATTCAATCGAACTAAATAAGGCAGGTGTGAAAGCACCCTTAGTTTCTGTTAGCTTTGTGTTGTTGACTGTTTAGCGCCATCTTGTGTCTGAACAATACGTATGTTAGTGTATACTCCAGCCGGTTTCGTCTTTTCATTAGCTTTGTGTTGTTGACTGTTTAGCACCATCTAGTGTCTAAATAATACGTAGGTTAGTGTATACTCCAATCAACCGCTTTCTGTCAGCTTTGTGTTTATATAAAGATTAAATAACCTATTACGGCTCAGAGCAAAGTTTTGTGTAATTTTTATGCTTTATGGCAAGTAACCGTGTAATAAGTGGAATAAAGTACATCCAGGACGGTTATTTTCCCAGAATAAACCCTTCAGTTTGTATTGCTTATTGTTTGTTCATGTTAGTAAACGCATGAACTGTATATTTAAGTGTTTCCTACATTTCTAACCTAAACCTGTCTGACCTCTGGACAGATGTGGACGAGTGTAAGCTGTTTGATCCGGAGGTGTGTAAAGGCGGTACGTGTGTTAACAATATACCCGGATACGCCTGTTACTGTCGCAGCGGATCCTACTATGACACGGAGCTGCTGGAGTGCACCGGTCAGTCTCACTGCACGCCCTGCTGGGATTGATGACCAGACGGAGCTTTTTTTGACCGTGTGTGTGTGTGTGTGTCTGCAGATAATGATGAGTGTGAGAGTGAGGACACCTGCAGTGGTGGACGGTGTGTTAACACACAGGGAACGTTTTACTGTACTTGTGAGCCCCCTTTAGTGCTGGACGACACACAGCGCAACTGTGTTAATGCAAGCGGACTCACTGAGGGTAAGAGAAACACACACACACTCTAATGTATACACTCAGCGGTAGAGGTCTGCATTCCCGGCGCCGCAGGACCCGACCAGATTTCTACGACGCGGGTATAAATTTCCGAATACATCACGGGAGCGGTCGGTAACGGGTTTAATTTGGGACGGGAGCGGGCTGTCTAGCAATATCGCTCCCGAGTGAGCACGTGTATGTATGTGTGTAAATGAAATAGCGCGATGCTGTTTAGCTTGTTTGTTGCAGTGTGTGTGTGTATGTATGCGCACGCGCGAATAAGAGATGTGTGTGTGTGCGCGCGTGCGAATGAGAGATAGAGCTTTGCCTGTGTTTGTGCTTGGTGCTTATGAGTGTGTGTTAGAAGGCGCGCGCGCGAATGAGAGAGAAAGCTTTGTCTGTGTGTGTGTTTATTCTGGACTGTATAACTGGGGGATTTTCGGTTTTGTTCTCCCCCCGCTCTTTAGCGGGATCGGGCGCGACGGATAGAAAACAGGGCGGGGCGGGCAGCGGGACATCAAGTGCTTAATATAAGCGGGAGCGGTCGGGTTCCGGCTAAATCCTAGCGGGCGGGAACGGGATTCAAAATTTAGTCCCGCGCAGATCTCTACTCAGCGGCCACTGTATTATGTACACCTTACTAGTACCGGGTCGGAATCACTTTTGCCTTCAAAACTGCCTTAATCCTTCATGGCGGAGATTCATCAAGCTACTGGAAATATTCCTCAGAGATTTTGCTCCATATTGTCATGATAGCATCACACAGTTGCTGCAGATTTGTCGGCTGCACATCCATGATGCCAATCTCCCGTTCCACCACATCCCAAAGCTGCTCTATTGGATTGAGATCTGGTGACTGTGGAGGCCATTTGAGTACAGTGAACTTATCGTCATGTTCTGTAAACCAGCCTGAATTGAGTAGGCTAAATTGTCTGTAGTGTGTTTGTGTGAATGAGTGTGTATGGATGTTTCTCAGAGATAGATTGCGGATGGAAGGGCATCCGCTGCATAAAACACATGCAGGATAAGTTGGTGGTTCAATCCACTGTGGCGTCCCCAGAATAATAATGGGACTAAGCCGACAAGAAAATGAAAGAATGTTTTAAAAGAAAGACAGAAAAATATGTACAATTTTGTAGAAATTTAGATTTTTGCAATAATTTGCATGCATTTAAATGTATTATCTTTCTATTTCTAAAGCTGTTCAGTGACTAAAATATTATTTTAATAAATATATCAGTTTAATAAATCTATTTTGTTTAAATGCACTCAAATATATGACCTATAACCACCGAAAAGTTGATAAAAATAAAAACTTTAGAAACTTTAGGGAGAATATTTTATTTTATATACATCAATCTTATAAATAAAATGTTCAAAGTTTAATTTTAAAGAGAAAGCTCAATAAACAACCTTTATGTCATCCAAAACACACATAATTTAGTTCAAGACACAAATGCAGATATTCTGAATAAAACATGAAGGATTGATTCACTGTCAGTCAATGCAATAATCTTCTGAAGTAAGTGCAGGAAAGCGAGGGAAGAAAACAGTTGTAAGTGCTTCTTTATTCACATGTAAACACCGATCAGCCCACATAAGATTTAGTCAACTGCAGCTTAAATCTGCTTGTGTCGTGTGAAAGCTCAAAGGAACGCTCACTGGCTCCTCGAGAGGTTTGTGTGAAAATATCTTAATCTGTGTTTTGATGATCAATTAAAAGATTATTGTTTGGAACAACATGAGGGCGAGTGTTTCCACTGTTGTGTGAGTTTACCTCGCAACACTACTAAATGGCCAGTTTTAATCTCTAATGTTTTTTTAAGAGAAAGTCATTGCTAATATTTGCATTTATATTCATAATAAGGGAATTCACGCTACCATTAATTGTTTCTTATAGTTTTATTTTAAATTATTAAGTTTAATTTATGAAAGGGGAGTTCAAATTTCCAAAATTATCCATCTTTAAGTGAAATAAACATAATTTTAATGAAATAAAGGATTTTATCTGTCTTCCTATTGAAAGAACAAGTAAAAAAAAACAATGCTGTTTATAAATACTTTATACAAGTAATCCATGTAAATCAAGCTGTTCATTCATTTACTTATCGGCTTAGTACACTTATTAATCTGGGGTCACCACAGCGGAATGAACCGACAACTAATCCAGCATATGCTTTACGCAGCGGATGCCCTTCCAGCTGCAACCCAGTACTGGAAAACACCCACACACACTTATTCACCCACACACTCATACACTACGGTCAATTTAGTTCATCAATACCTCTATAGCGTATGTGTTTAGACTGTGGGGGAAACCGGACCCCCACGCCAACACAGAGACACTTCACACTGGACTGGCTTATGTGTATTTTTTGTTGTTATTTATTTCTATGTCGCTCTACATGCCCCAATTCATTTGTTAAATATGATTAATAATTGCTTTACAAGATTTTTGGTGCTTTATTAATGTTAGCAAATGCATTACCTAATGGATTAACTTGTTTCCTCCTCATCTGCAGTGTGTCTCTGTGTTTTCCTCAGATGAGAGCCTGAACTTCTGCTGGCGTCATGTGACGGCCGGTCTGGTGTGTCAGAGTCCTCTGTTAGGAGCTCAGCTGAGCTTCTCTGAGTGCTGCTGTCTATATGGAGAGGCCTGGGGGCTGCAGTGCGCACTCTGCCCCCGCAGGGACGAAGGTGTGTGTGTGTGTGTGTGTGTGTGTGTATATGTATATACACAGACACATTTGCATACAGTACACACAAACACACATGTACGCGCACAAACTAATCACACATGCATACAGTACACACAAACTCACATGCAAAAAAAAGACGTGCACACACAAACGTGCACACAAAAACACACACTCAAACAGATATGCACATACACACACACACTCAAAAACACATGCACACACATTCACCATCACACACACACACAGTCAAACACACATGCACATGCACACACATTCAAACACACATGCACATATATATATATATACACACACACAAACTCAAAAACACATGCAGACGGTATACACACAAACACACACACACACACACTCAAACACACATGCATACACACACACACACACACACACACACACGCACACACACACACACTCAAACACACATGCATACAGTGCACACAAACACACATGCACACACGCACATACTCAAAAACATATGCACATACTGTACACACATTCAAACACACATGCACATATACAAAGACGCAAACACACATGCATACACAAACACACACTTAAACATACAAAGACGCAAACACACACACACACACACACACATAAACACACAAAGACGCAAACACACACACACACACACACACGTAAACACACAAAGACGCAAACACACACACACACACACACACACATACAAAGACACAAACACACACACACACACACACACACACACACGTAAACATACAAAGACGCAAACACACACACACACACACACACATAAACATACAAAGACGCAAACACACACACACACACACACACATAAACATACAAAAGACAAACACACACACACACACACACACACACACACACACACACACACACACACACGTAAACATACAAAGACACAAACACACACACACACACACACACAAACATACAAAGACGCAAACACACACACACACACACACACACACGTAAACATACAAAGACGCAAACACACACACACACATAAATATACAAAGACGCAAACAAAAACAGACACACGTACAAAAAAAACACGTGCACAAACAAACACACACAGA